CCTACAATAACATCGGTTTGGTCTATGTAAGTATGGGCGAATACCAAGGGGGTAAGTGCAGACGCCCAGCACCCAGCACCTGCTCAGCACCTACAGCACCTAACAGCACCTAACAGCCCCTACCAGCACCTACCAGTACCTACCAGCACCTACCAGTACCTACCAGTACCTACCAGTACCTACCGGCACCTACCAGCACCTACCAGCACCTACAGCACCTACAGCACCTGCCAGCACCTACAGCACCTGTTCAGCACCTATACTGCATTTCACTATGAGCACCTACGGCACCTTCAGCACCTGCAAACATTGTTTCATTATCTTAAGTATTTAAGACAATAGAATAGTTGTTGAAGATGCTGAAAGTGCCGTAGGTACCGTAGATGCTCACTGTGGAATGCGGTATACGTGCTGAGCAGGTGCTGGGTGCTGGGTGCTAGGTGCTGGGTGCTGGGTGCTGGGTGCCTGCACTTTCCCCCTTGGCGAATACTCGAAAGCTCTTTCATCTTACGAAAAAACTCTTGAAATTCAACAACAATCTCTTCTTCCGAATCATTCTAATTTGGCTTCTTCCTATTCCAACATCGGTTTGGTGTATCATAACATGGGTGACTATTCGAAAGCACTTTCGTCTTATGAAAAAGCCCTTGAAATCGACAAAAAGTATCTTCCTCCGAAACATCCTGATTTCGCTTCTTCCTACAACAATATTGGTACTGTGTATCACAAAATGGGCGAGTATTCGAAAGCACTGTCGTATTACGAAAAAGCCCTTGAAATTCAGCAACAATCACTTCCTCCGAATCATCCAGATTTGGCTAATTACTACAATAACATCGGTTTGGTGTATGACAAAATCGGCGAATATTCGAAAGCACTTTCATATTGCGTAAAAGCTCTTGAAATCGACAAAAAAAATTGTCCTCTGAATCATCCTGATTTGGCTTCTTCCTGCAATAATATCGGTAGGGTGTATGAAAACTTGCGCGAACACTCAAAAGCACGTTCTTTTTATGAACGTGCTTTGGATATTGGACAACGTACATTACCGTCAAATCACCCTAATCTCCAAATGTATAGAGAGAATTTCGACAGAATACAAAAGAAACTGTAATCTGTATTTGTTGTTTTTTTTCGAAAAAAAAATAAAATGTTTAAATAGAGACATTTATTTTAAATGAATCGCACATACAAACAAAGAAACTGTTCTCTTGTTGAGAACACAAGGAGAGGGTGGGTAGGTGTTGGTGTGAGTGTTGTGATCTTTATTGACTCACACCCACACCCACACATCCTGAGATTGCTTTAAATACAATCACACCCCGCACCCAGCTACACTCACATCCTTTAACGAGATTTTAGTAATGCAAGACCTATGACTGTCTGCAGATGTCGTCTATCATGGTCTATGCAGAGAAATGATCCAAGTTGCTACCCTTCTGTACTTCAAGAATTCTTTTGTATTGTGTTTCACAAAACTTGAAGTGAGATCTATACGTACATGTCTTTTAACCAAAAAATAGTTTCTACGGTCATCTTAATTTGAAATAAAAATTAGTTATTCATATGGAACGTGTATTCGTTAATCAACCAAATTCTATAATGAAGAATTCATACAAGCTTAAAGACGTGACGAGACTACAAGAAAAAATGAACATGTATTAAACTAAACCTTGAAAAGCGGATTGAATGTGTTAATGAGGGTGTGGATGGATGTGAATAATGAAGATGCCAACATTTCACATCAAGCCACAACCACAGCAAAAAAATCACTTTTTTAAAGAAAATAGATGATTTGATCCTCATAAGATATTTGTTCATACTGAACTTCATTGAGTTTTACTTTTGACTTAAGGTATGTGTAATCGGAAATACTAGAAACAAAATCAAAAAAATACTTATTGAACTTCATTGTATTCAGTAGAAAAACAACACTGGGTGCGCGATTGACACAAAGGGTGAATGTTATAGATATATTAAACTTTCCCGAATTTCACTAAAAACGATATATAAACACTAAAATTTTTCTCTATGTATCAATCGATGCCTCCTATATGTATGATTCTTTATTCAAAAAGAGATCATACAATGGATCAAAAGTGACGACTTCTCTTTATTAATTTCTAGATAATAACTATTATATCAATCAACAGTACCCAGTAACTAACAAGCAATTTTTGTAGTGTGTGGGTGTGGGTAGGTAGGCGAGGGTGTGGTTATGGATGTGAATATCAATCTTCTCTTCACACTCACACCGACACCTACACCCTGATGTTTGTATTTACTTACATGCATCTAAAAAGGGCATATTGTAAGTGATTGTATTAGTTTAAAGCACTGATTATATTCATAACACATACATATATTCATCATTAAGTTAATTGAGCTTATTCTGTATAATGTAGACTTGTTGTTCTGTATTCTTGAAAAACTTTAGATAACGTGTATGAATTACTGTTTGAAGTCAATTCTACACTACTAATCATTATGAATAATTTCTTTTCAATGATAGAAAAGTCTTTCATTCATATTTATGAACATGAATATAGGAAATGTATGCTACTAAATAAAATTTGTTTATTATTCTTTTAATGTTTTTAAAGTTTTTTTTAGACGTTTAGTATTTGTAACTCAAGTATAATTTCTTAGATTATATGAAATCAATTAGGAAATATCATATGAAGATTTAAAAGGAGAATCAGTTATAAAAATAATTACAAATCAAATTCAAATTTTAACCAAAGTAAATAAAGATATATAATAAAGAGCAAGAAAGAAAATATTATCATGTGTTGTACAGGACATTTATTACTTGATACTAATTTTATTTTTTATTTTTTTGCTAGTTGATTCATAAACGCAATAGAATTAAAGACAAGAAATTTCAACTGATTTAGTATTATTTTTTTAGGAACCAAAAACAACTGAAACTATAAGATCACATCAATCATTTGAAAAATTTGTTGTTGAGTCGATGTGGATGCCACTTCTCTCTCTACGCATATGTACACCTACAGTCACAACCATATTCTCGTCTGTAGTGGAGATACAATTATTATTATTGAAGTGATAACCAAACGATTCATTGTTTGTATATGAATATTTCAGACATGGTACTTGTTCCATTTCATTGGGTCGACAAGGTGCAATCAAAATCAAAATATATTGAAAAAATTATTATTATTTATTTCTAAAACAAAAAAAAGAAACAATGAAAAATAAATTGATTTATTTGGAATGTATTTTGTCGTAGAATACACATTGTTGTTTCTTTCACTGAATGACATAACGCATACATATTCTGACGTAAACCATTTTGTGCAGTATTTTTCTCAAGCAACTAATCGTCGTACATTTTAGCATCAAGAAGATGTCATTGAAAGCAATTTATAAACTACCATACACTATGATGAAATAGATTAAAATTATCATAATCATCATCACAAGTAGAAAATGATATTCCATTAACCTTATCCCATGATGATGAAAGCAAATCATTAGTTGTTCATAAATTATAACAAAATTCAGATATTTGTAATTGACAATTCGATTTTCAGAACGTATCATAAATTTTGATCTTGAGGGTGTTCAACTGTTTGACAACATTATTATTTAATGAATATTAGAAGATAACGATTACCATCAGATGACATACATTACATGTCAATCATATTAGATAAAAAAAAACTGATCGTTACAAATTCAATCGAAATAGAACTTCTAGTTTTTTGTTGGACTAGCTTAGAAAATTCATTTGAATGTAAGAAGATTGGATGTGGATGTGAGTGTGTTTGTTGATGCACTCACTTTGGTCACACTCATCTACACCCTTTTGAAACGAAATGCTTTCAAATATTTAATGTGCTGATTTATTGAAAAATTTGTCATAGAATATTGTAGAAATTGAGCAAATACCTAGGAAATACCATGTATGGAGCTAATTGACAGCAGAATACACGAAAAGGCATCTTGTTGACAGCTGACCGAGTAAAATGAATATTCTGAAAAGAGTTCGATCTAATTATTTATTACTGCTGAGATACGGTAATTTCTAGCACAATCTCGTGATCTTCTCAAATGAATTTCGAATTTTGACTTGAAATCTTCTATAGAGACACATCTTAATGAGAATAATTTATTTCTAAAAGTTTGAGACCTTATGATTATTTCAATCCTAAAATACAGCTATGAGAAAAGCATGCTATTTACGCTGCTTATTCACGTTAAGGCATCCCTCTATGTGCGGTTTCAAGTTGAACTTTAAAACTCAATTCTCTTAGTGTTCCTAAGTGGAACTACGGCATTCTACTACAAGATAGAGGATCTCAGCAATGGTTAGTTATTAATTCGAACCCTTTTCAGTGCATTTTAGTTTACTAAAACCTACATGATACATATATAATGACGATTCAAATGCTATTAAACATTTAGAAAGATTTCTTCATCAGTATATTCATTAGAATATTAAATATTCGTTATTTTTCAAAATTTAGCTTGAAATGAAAAACATGATAGATTTTCTATAGTAAATCTACGAATAGTTTATTGAAATATGTTATTTGATAAAGTAATTTCTCAGATAAATTACAAACTCAAATATGTTTTTTTCTTTGTAATTTGATTAAAAAATCTTTTATCATTGTCATTGTATTACTTCTTTAAATGTATGATTGATATAATCCATTGCCGCTTCAATATCTACTTGCTTTTGTTCTTCTAAATTATTTCGTATATTAACAATCATAAACACAATAATGGCAATAAATAGAAGCATATTGATACATGTAAGAATAATCATAGCTAAAGCATAAACTCGAATTTGTATGTGAATAAAGAAAATCAATGTAATTGCACCAACAAAAGTAAAACTAATAAGACTTTAATAATATTTCAGAATTATATTTATTTATTTTGTTTACCAAAATAAAAAAAAAACATACCAACAAGAATTTTTGACATTTTGTCAGATATATCACTTTAGTATTTACTTACTCAAGAAATTATTTAAAAAAAACATAAATTGTACCGTAGTCAAAAAGTGGAAATATATCATCAATAGCCATTAATAATGGTAAGTCAGATGCTATTTGACATTGTTGGTTAGGATTATCTCCATATTGAACAAGATATTTAAATCTAATAAAAAATTGAACTATAGAAAAAATAAAAGTTATTATAAAACATACACCTATAAACAAGTATACACTTATTTTTCATCTTTATTTCGTAACACTTGTGATATCTGAATCTCACTTCTACTTTATCTCAACATCACTTTATACAGGAATCGCAGCTGGGAGCCACAAAAAAGAAGGATTTTTCAGAAATCCTGTATTGCAACACTAAAATTATATTAGAAGATTGCCGCCTAACCATAAGAATGAAGCTAAATGAGATCGAATTTCGAACATCAATAATTGTCGTCTTGTCGTGTGATATGTTTGTGTGGCTATCCTGGGTGTGGGTGTGAATGTGTCTTCTTTCGTTGAACATTCACACCCTCTGGAAAATTTTTCTGATTCTGCTGCTCGGCTTCAATTATGTTAGAAGTTTACACTATATGTTCTAGCCCGTTCATCGACACCCGAAAGCAATTGTCAATGTTGTGGCACACGATACTTTTTCTATCTGCAGAAAATTTGCAACGCAATGCAAAGTAGCTTTTCCTATTTGCTCCTTTTTTCAAATAGTGAGACAGAATTATGATAAATAAACAAACCTGATCTAGTTGTGACAAGTTATGGTTTTCGAAGTTAAGCTAGCTGATTGACTAAATTTTGGCACTAAAAGCTGGATTTATTCCGTTAAAATTCTCTAGCTTGCTGACAGATACTCTTACTCATCTAGTATTTCCACTATCTCGCTTGAATCGAAATGCTCTGTCACTGCTGAATTCAGACACGTTTTTCTCAAATTTCGTGCTCTAAACGGTGTTTCAAGATTGTTTTTTATGTACTGAAACGATTTAAACTAACTGGACAAATGTCTAATTTCTTGATCGATGTGTCTGTACACAACTTGGAACACTTCTCTAGTGCTCATATCAATGTACAATTTAATAATGACTCATCAGTTTTTCAAAAAATAAAAATAAAAAATGTCCTTGAAATCACAACTCGATCATAAACTGAAAAGGCATAAAGCGAGCTATATTTCAAACGGAGAGGTCTTAAATCATGTCTGGCATTGATCGATTAATTGTAGTTGCGTGGAAGACTGTCAATTCATTGGGAATTGAACTGAAAAACATTTACACAAAACACTCTATTTTCGTCCATAAGCACTATCCTACATACTAACAAATGTTGATTGTCTTTTTCCCTTTGTTTATCAACGACAAACCAGTAAAAACTGCGCATTTGTTACGTTCTATTAAGTAAAATCCTGGACCGAACATCAATATCAGGAAATGACTGTTCACGTAACTATCTATAAAACAAGCTATAACGTAGCTCAGCATCGATTATGATTGGTAACTGAGTATATGCCACCCTACCCACCCCCAATTTTGAGCAGTGAGAGAATTCCAGTGAAGAGCTATTTTAGATAACTCAAGTCCTGCACGTATGTGTCACGTAAACTGAAGTCATGCATGCATAGTTTGACACAATCGTAGATAGCTTTTATCTAACATAAGCATTGCTCATGTGTTTTCCGAAGTCTCTCAAAGCATATTCGTGTGAAAAGTAAGAAGAGGAGGAGGAAAAGAAGGAAAGAAGGACCACTGCGAGGCCTGCTAGATATGTTCCTCTTCTCGGCAACAATATAATGGCTATATATACAGTAATAACATGAAGAAAATCCATAAAACAACATGAAAGAAACATTCTATGATGTATGACTAATAACAAAGAAAACGATAAAGAAAATATATGTATGCATATAAACATATAGACAAAGAGAAAAAACTCTTATGATTGCATTTAAACAAGATACAGGTTATAACAACGCTTGACTTCAATGATAATTATTTTCAGATGAGAAGACAAAGAGAAAACAAATAGATGAAAACAAATAAGAGATGAAGAAATATGTACAGAAAAAGCAAGCATATAGTAACAAAAGCAACTAGTATCTATAAGACACATACATGGTTGATGAGAGATAAAAACTAATGAACATGAATAAGAAGGTGAAAACAAAAGAATTTTGTTTTTATCATATTCATCGTCTTTTTTTTCTTGTCGTTTTTGTCGATGTTTTATTGATATTGATGGTAATGGTAATGAAGCACATGCATAACCAGAGAAAAAACGAACATGTGCATGTCGTAACATATTAAATGTATGACGCATATTTGATGATTCAAGTAACATTAATAAATTTTCATATTCAGTTTGATCAACAAGTTCACTTTTCATTTGTCGTTCTTCAATAAAATATTTTTCATGATTATTTTCTTTATTAATTAATTCTATAATATCATTAAATGAATATGATGATTGCATTGAATAATCATGAAATGCAAGTTCACCATTGATATCAAGTTGTACTGAAAGTAATGGATAATGTTGAAGAATCATTGAAGCAAAATTTAATCGTTCATCTTCATTACTCCAATCTTTATTAATAATTAATACAGAATGATTTTGTCCTTTAACTTCATCACTACCAATACCTATACCATCTTGACAAAATGCTTTACCAAAAAGTGCACTAATCATACGTGCTTGACGTTCATTACCATGAATCTTTTGAATATAGACAAAAAAAAATGTCATAAGAATTAATGAAAATCATCAAAAAATGACTAATATCTTCAGCTAATTGTAATCGCTTGCCTTGAAATTTTCTTCAATGAATATCATGTTCTAATCAAGTTTTTCTTCAAAGTTTTCACGATTATAGTTATCAATTGAGAAGACGAAAAAAAGTAATGAGCACATCTATCATAAATCTTTTGCATTCAAATCTATTGATCCTGAACTGCTGAATTGACTTCTTGTAACTATTGTATGTCACAATTAGAGTAGAAAACAGATCATAACAGATACCTTAATTACGTAACATTTTAACAATTTAGAGGATTTAAACATGTGTTATTCAGTTTGAACATATCTATTCATTTAAGTTTTCACATAAAATATCGGTATCTAAAGAAATTTAATAGAAGACTAAGTTCGAGTCAGCTATCATTGCAAAACGAAAGCTGCAAGACGAATTTAGTAAAAAAAAATAATGGAAGACTAGAAAAGTAACTGAAGTTAAGAATGCCTGTAAAAGTGAGCCAGAATCAAGAATTTGATCTATTGTCGAAGTTTGTTCATTACCATAAACAATAAAATACTGGATTATGATGAAATATCTCTGATCAAAGCCATACAAGATACAATCCGTTCAACAGTTCTACGAAGAAGAGTTACATAGACATTATTTTAACTCTAACTTCTTTAAGTGTAGACATTTTATCTAAAATATATTGAATAAAACTTTAATATGTGATCAAACTATACAGATTTTTTGTTCGTTTCTCAATTTGAATAATACAATGTACGTATCTTCATGAAACAAATCAAATACAATCTTTGAAGCAGTTCTTTGTTTTTTTCAAATCACTTTACTATATTCTAGTGTTATGGAATAATTATGATTTTCTAATTTTTTTTTGTCGTTGTTTGAAAAAAGTGTCAAAAACGAAACAGTACAAACTTATTTGTTAGAACTAAAGATGAATCAGAACGATTTCGAAAAAAAATCAAGATCTACGGCGATATCTGTAAATAGCTCTTAGATATCAACTGGACAAGAAAATAGCAAGCGAAAATTTTCCTACTCCTCTTATAGATCTTAACGACTGATGTTAGCGATTATTGAATACGAATCTTTCTCTAACAGTCGAAGACAGTAGGTACTAGAGACTTCTAAAAAGAAAACAAGGAAAAGAACTGCACACCGATTAGCTTTTTTCAATATATTTGAAAAAGAAAAAATTTTTTTTTCATGTTATAATTCATCATTACAAAATAAAGCTTATAAGAAAGAATAAAATTTTACTCACTTCAATAAACATATTTGGTTCCAGACCCCATTGAGCCGTTTGTGAAAATCCTGATCGAAGAACAATTTTATGTTGAGGAAATAATTTAGATAATTCTTTTATTTGTTCTTGTTGATCAATTAATGTATTGACAAGTAAATCATGTAAATAACGACATTGTTCAAATCGTCGTTGACCAACTTGATTACCAGGTACAGAAGCAATTTGTATAAGAAAAGTAGCTTTTGACATCATTGATATATTATACCTTTTGACGAATAAATATATTTTCAAATGCTTTAATAGAAAAGCATTATGCTTGCATCGTATGGTTGAATATATATTTTTTTTCTATCTTTTCTTTCGTAATGTACCATATGAATGAAATAAAATACTCGATAGAAGTATTTTATTTCTTGTTGACAATTCGTTATATTTTCTATGCAGTCAGAAATATCGGACAAATCGTGTTTTAATAATGTCTTACAACAGTTTTCAGAAAAAATTTTATAATACATTATAAATATCATGAATTTACTGCATTGACAGAGACAATGTACTATCTTTTCATTTTCCTTTCGAACAATAATTTCCTTGTCATGATAATATAAATAATTGACTAATAGTCTTCGAATGAAATTTTTTAAAGTTTTATTTTACCTTTCAAATAATGAAAAAAAAACCTGTCACAATAGATAGTAAAGATATAACAACATATTTAGAATGAACGAGAGCCTGAACACTGGAAAAAAAATTTCATTCCAAAGCTGTTAGTCAATCATTAATATTAACATGATTATAAATCGATGTTACGAGTCGTCTATTATTTATCTGTAAACACACTATATTTTACGATTTCTTATAATACAAAGATATTTGGATTGAAGCTATTCGTCATGAATCTTAACAACTATAGAAGAACTATTAAATCTAAATATCTAGTACAAACAATAAAGCGTCTAATAGTAATAATGGCTAGTTCATATCTTACGAGGGAAGGGTACCAACTGACCAATTGCTTTTAAGTTAAGACTATGTGTGTTATGTTAGTAAAAATGAGCTATGAATATCGTTAAAAAAGTTCGGGCCGCTAGCTCATTGTAAGAGAGATACTGAACTTTTAATGTGAACTTTTGAATGAGGGCTGTGGTCCCCCTCAGGGACATCGAAAAAAATGATTTTCGAATTTTGACTTGAAACTTTACACAGAAACAACTCTTGATAAGCATAATATTTTATGAAAGTTCTAGACGTTGTTGATGTTCCTATTCCTAGTTATAACTATGATAATTACATTGAGATATATCAAAAAATTTTGTTCTCGTTTCAGGAAAGGAATAAATGAAAACATTTGAAACATTCACAAAATAGTATATTCATTAAGAACTGTTTCTGTGTAAAGTTTCAAGTGAAAATTCGAAAATCATTTTTTTCGATGTCCCTGAGGGGGATCACAGTCCTCATTCAAAAGTTTCCCTGAAAAGTTCAGTATCTCCCTTACAATGAGCTAGCGGTTCAAACTTTTTTCCTTCTTCGTTAGTAATTTATAGATAAGTTCAATGGCAAAAATCATTCACATATCAAAATATTTCTACCAAAAATGAAAACAGATAAAGAAACGAGTGAAAATTTTTTCGTAATTTATTTATCTATATAATGAACTATTTCAATGATTCTTCTACAATCATATAAATTTACATTATATTATTGTGAAAGATTAATTGAAACTGAAATAATTTCTTTCTCTTCATGCATTAGTTTTAGTTGAATATAATTCCAATTGTTTTGCTATTGAAATAATGTATAAGAATTTAAGTGAAAAAGTACAGGAGAAAATATGTAAATTATCGATCATATTTATCGTTAAAATAATAATTTTTTTTTTTGTTTTAAAATGAGTTTTTCTTACTTACCTGACTGACTTATTATTAAAATGATCAATGTATCATAAGTGAATCTAAATGGTGAATGGATCTAATCATAAAAAGAATGATCATAATATGTATGATAGAAATTTTTAAAAATTTATATGCTTAATTAAATGAAAAGAATGTACAACGATTAAATTAGGAACAATATGAATGACTGAATATTTGTTATTATATGGCTCTTTCTCTTGATGTAACAATGACACAAAGAACATCGATTCTATTGGTTAAATAAATTCCTTTACGCAATATCAGATTAGATTAAAACATATTTTTACTAAAAAAATAAAAAAGAATAATAATCGAGTTTAAATGAAAAATTATTTGTCAATTCTACTTGATATATACAAATGCATTAAAACATATCACATCATCACTTTTATCTGAGTACAAGCGTTAAAATCTGTTTATATATGAATAAATCCGTTTTAACAGGTTCAATCTTGTCATTCCTCTTATGAATATATCCAAGCGATCAGAAATGACAAAAAAAAAAATACGTTTTACCGGACATCTTTTGTTCTTCTTTGAATGCATTTTATATTTCCACAAATGTCCGAATTTTCACTTTAACATGGTCAAAGCGAGTGGAGAGAGAAACACGTAAACATGTTAATAAAATAATTGTAGAAAAACGCAAAAATTCGAATATTTGTTAAATGGTACAACAGCGTTCCAAGGAAATATCTTAACGATTGCATCACTGCGATAGCCAAATTTTAAGAAATGTTTCGTGTTCACAATTTAAAATTTCAATAGTTTCTTTTGTCGTGTGTTTCTTAGATATAGTTTGTCGTATTACATAAGAAAAAAAGGTTTCAAGTTTTATGAAAGTAAAAAATTTCGGTCTATTTTCTCTTATATTTGAAAATAGTAACATATTTGACTTTTTTTCGTAAAATTGTTTTCTAAATTATGAAACATTTTTTCTTGTGCAATTCGACGAGCTTTATCTAAGAAACACGACAAAAAAAAACACCATTGAAATTTTTAATTGTGAACGCTGTACATACAGGGCAGCCCCGAAACTTTGTTTTTTGTTTTTCTTAAAGTATTTAATTTTCATTTTTGTAATTCTGTTGACAATTTCTTAGGTGAGACATATTTATTCGATTTCTCATTTTACAATCAAGTAACTATTCAGAAAATAGAAGTGATTAAAATTAATGATATAATTTTTTTTAAATTTTATGGTAAATACTCAAAGAAATAAAATATTAATACAACAAATTTTCTTTTTCCTGACTCAAACTATATTCGTATGTCTTTTTTTAACAAGTGTTTGTAATCAAAAATACATGACATATATACGAGCTATTTGAATATTATAGGAAGATGTAATTTACAAATATTAACTAAGAGTATCACTTCTCACTTTATTGGTATCGAAATTCTTTTTTGAACTTGTGAAGAAAAGTTTTTCTTCAACTAGTGTAGTGATTCTGATTATTCTGGACTTAAATCATTATTATTTTTCACTATTGTTTTGTGAAAACTAGATTTTTATATTCTCATAGAAAAATATAAACGAAATCAAGTTCAATGACTGTGACGGCTAAGTAATCGATTACTATTTTCATTTTATTATTCATCGATGCTTTTATATAGTACATACAAAATATCTGGATAAATATACGAGTAACTCAATCTATTTAAGAATATTTCATCAACGAAGGAAAGATGCCCATGGTTTGAACTGTTTATTGCGAGAACTTAAAGCAATTAGTTTCTTTTTTTTTGTTTTCGAAATCGACAATAGGTTATGTGTTATGTGAAAGTCAAAAGTGTATCTATTGCAATATTTGTGAATTTTTTCTTCATGTATAGCAACTCGAAGTTCATCTGTTGTTTTAAAAAAGACCTAACTTATATATGAGACAAAGAAAGGAACAAAGAACAATCCATATCATGATCAGCGGCGGCGCGAGCGGTGGGGTGTGGGGGGTACCCCCTACTTTTGAAAATTTTCGTTTTTTTTTGCTCAACGATTACCTTAAAACTTGATTTTTTTCACATTTTCTCCCATTTTTTGAAGGTACCCCCCCCTGCTTTGACCTCTTCGCGTCGCTCCTGATAATGATCAGTGTTAACCAATAAGAATACATGTATGATTAAATGGGATGAATTAGCGCATTCAGTCAAGATATATATTGTTAAATATCTCGACTTTCTATAAATTTGTTTAGATTTTAGTCGTTAGTGATGAATAATTTATACATTGTAAATTAAACAAAGAATAGTTCTGCATCATATTATCGATTTAATTTGTTTTCGACTATATTCACTACACTGCTACTGGTTTTTATTTTTTTTTAAATAATTACAAATATGTCTGATACATTCTAAACACTTAATGCAGAATATCAGCTGACGGATTTTTCTGATTATCTTACTCTATATTTCTCTGTTTCTTAACTTTTTTTTTCTATCTTGAAATAATATAATAAAAAGGCTGTTCTATTTACAATGATTAGTTGTATGTATCAGTATTCACAAAATTTCCACATTTTACGTGTCGAAACAGTGTGCTGTCGTTTATCTGTCTACATAAATATGACATATAACCTGCAACTATTTTTATTTTCATTTTATATATTTTAATTCTTTAAAATGCATTCATTCGACTAATTTGCCTATTGCGTACGTTAATACATGTTCATTGACCTAATATTTTCATTAAATTCGTGAAAATGCGTTATCAGCAAAAAAAAACATTTACATTCATTCATTTCTCTTATTTGTCGAGTGAACGAGTTTTAAAGCAATTTTTATCTTTGCTTTTCAACGTTAATTTATCAAAACAACATTGTTGCCATTTATCTGTCTGCATAGGGAATATATAAGAATCAAAAGAAAAGAATTTCGATCTGAAATTTTGTCTACTAGTAGGCATTATGATCCTTAGAATGCTCTGAAATGTTCAGTCACAATAGATTCATCTTTCTGTTGAAAAAACAATTGATTCTGTGAAATTTCAACGTGTTTTTTTTGCTTATTTAATATCTCAGCAAGGAAGCATATGCTTTAGCTGAAAAAAAAA